GTAAGTGTTGTAATTTCTTAACACATACCGGTTACCTTCAAGACATCAATAGAGAAAACATTGTCAGAAAGAAGAAAAAGGTAACACATAGTACTATTTATATATTTAGGCCCTTTTAGTTATATTACAAAAGGAAATGATGATTTTAATTAGATATTTGGGGAGAGCTAGTTAATTTAATTTTTTTTCTAGTCTGCGGTTCAATACCTTGTTGAAAGCTCGAGTTATGTCTAGGAAGATGGCTATTGTTTAATTTTTTTTTTCAAAACCATATACCTATAACTAATTTTAAAATTTTTTTCTGGATTTGATGATATGTTGAGTGATACATTTTGAATCCAAATTGAAGTTTTAGATTTTTGGAATAATCTGTATGAATGGTTTTAACCTATTAACCAATTATTTTTTCATATAGTTTTGGTACCTAGTGATGGAAGAAGGCTGATTGGTCTGTAGCTTGTGGAATAGTGGGTTGGTTTTTATACTGGGATTATGATAGCATATCCCCAAGGCAAGTGAAATATGTCAACATGTGTGGCTTGAGTTTTATAGGATACCTACCTACCTAGTGTATTTTGTATAAGGTTTTTTAATATTTTATATGTGATAATATCGTGCTTTGGGTTTTTTTTATATGATAGTTTGATCATAATTTGTTATATTTCTACGGAGGATTTAGGGATAATACATTTTGTCATTTGGTTCGTTGATATTTTCATTTGATATTTTATCAGCATAGGTACTCAATGTATTGCTCATCGTATTCACGGAGGTGAAGCAGAATGTGAAATGGTTATCGTCTATCGAAGATTTAGATTTTTTCAGCATTCATTTCAGATTTGACTGACTCATTTTTCAAAGGAGAGATTACGTTATATTGTTTTAATATTTGTTTAGTCGCTATACAGAGAATTGAATTGTTAAGGTTAATTTTTTCTCGATGCACGATGTGGTCGATATGAATTGATGAATTGTATTTAATATTGTCCAATTCCTATTTAACTTTTCTTGTGAATCTTCTTTCAACAACTAGGTTTTTGGTATTTATCCAAATTTTTCTCTTTTATGTTTTTGCTTTGTTTTGAATCGAAATTGATAAAGTCTAGAGAAGTAATTATTAATAAATTTGCCATTTAAAATCAACGCTAGGATTATTTAATTTTTTATCGTAGGTACCTATTTGTTAGGTATTCCATGCTAGGGAGTAAGTACTCGTAAATTATCTGAATTTGATACTGTAATGTTTTTAATTTAGATGTTCATTTAGTTTTTTTTGAACTTTTGCTAATTCATTAGTGTTTATTAGTTTTGAGATTCACTGATTTATTATTGATGGTTCATTTAGGACGATTATGATTGAACTACTGAAGCGTAATTTGATTCGAGTTCATTTAAGAGTTGATAATGAAGATTAGTGGACAGATTTGATGTTAGTTCAATATCTAGAATTTTTGGTATTCATAAACAGTGTATTATAGTATACTAGTACTACCAGAGTATTAATTATTTAAGGAAAATTTTTCAAAAATCTATGTTAAATTGAGTTATCTGAAAGTATTTTTAATCAACGAGTTAAATCGGTTAGGGCGAAACTATTATTTTTTATAGAAATTTAAATTTAGTTGTAATAATATAGATTAATGTGATGCTAATTAAAATCTTGAAATAGTGCAATTTCACATTTCAATAATCAACAATGTAATAAAAATAATACATGTAAAAATTATACATAATGTTTAATATATCAATTTTTTTTTTTATCTATTTAAACAATAATTTTTAGAAAACAAAAAAAATTTTAAATTTATGTGCTGCATAGTAAGAAAAAATTTAATAGACGAGAGTATAAAATTCATTTCTGATTAATGATTAATAATTTAAGTACAAATCATAGAACAAATATTGAATAAGGTTGTTACTATAAAAATTTAAAAAAAATTGGCTAGGTCATAAGTTGTAACTAATAATAATCTGTAAAAATAGACTAATTTATTATTCAAGAAAATATATTGGTTATTAAACTCATATTTTAATCAGCATCAAAGAAAATAAATTAATGTGAATCGACACATTACTCTGTAATTATTCATTTATTTTTGAATAAATTTTTTCTTATTATTTTAATATTTCACAAAGATCATCATTCACAACTTCAGGTAAGGAACACTGACTTTATTATAAATAATAAGTAGGTATGATTCATAGAATGTTCAAGCTCAATCACAATAAGTATTGATCCATTCTGATTTAAATAAGGTTAAATATTGTTATCAATACAAATGTCTAAGTAAATAAATATTTTATTTTTTATAAGAAATTTTTTACACAATTATAATTTTTGTAAAGTATGATAACCACTTTTCTATGTTTAGTGGGTGTTTACTTTTTTTGTACAACAAAGACCATATAACAATATTTGTAATGTTCAGTTTTGTATTTGAATCCTTAATCAGGTGATACAGTTCTGTAGTTCGATCATTTTCCGAATACCCAATTTCATTTACTAGGTCTAAAGTTTTATCAGATTTTATTTGATCAGCATCATACAGCGGTAGATATTGATTGAATATCCGTAATAACGATACTTCACCGATAGATGACTCTGTTGGAGATGTGACCACTTTAGGACTAGGCTTAACTAAAGAAAAAAATAATTAGAATATTTATAAATTTTGAGCTAATTTGATAGTTAACTTACTGTGTTGCCATATTACAAAGACTTTTACAATGTTCTTAGAGTTTTTACAAATCACATTTTTGAATGCTTTAATGGTTTCTAATGCTTTCAAATCTTTTGATACAGATGAATGTATGTGATAAGAAATATCCCATGCAACTGTTGGCCACAAGATTGGTAAAGTCAATAGAGAATAAGGTGGATCTTCTGGATCAGCAAACACAACAGTATCATTCTATGAAAATGTACAATTTTCAATTATATACATATAGTGTAATACTATAATTCAAACCATATCATTATTTTAATGACAATTAAAATATTACTTTTATCAGATTTTCAATGTTATCATTGACTACAGACTTAAGACTGCTTTCATGTTTTTTATGAACATTACACTGAATTGATTGTTGTTTTTCTGGAAGGGGTACACTTTCCTTTAAATCAGGGAATTTTACATCTAATTTATTTAATCTAAGTTCAAGTTGTTCTAATGTTTTGATAATTTCATTTTGTTTTTTTAAGAGTACTTGAATTTCTTGGTCAGATAATTCTGTTTCATCTAAATTGTCCTGCAACTAAATCAAAAAGAATTTATAAAATAATGACAAAAATTATCAATCAAAATAGATTACTATAGTAAAAATTGAAACATAAAAGTTATAAAAGAACATAATTTAGAACTAGGTAGGTACTGTGTGCAACATTGTTGATAAGAATTGGCTTTTCACTACAGAACGTTTATTATCGTAAACGTTTTTTTTTTCATTTGAAGAATCCTTTGAGTTTGCCATTAGACTTCCGTTTGTCCTTAAAAAAAATTATAATTTTTCAAAATTTGCGAAAAGGCGCGAAATAATTGGAAAACCCGTTGACCGATAATCGCTCGTGGATAAAGCGAAATAAAACGAGAATTATAAAGTGGCATTTATTATGATTTGAAATATATTATGTAAGTAAACATTGACTTGAATGGTAAATGCAAAATGATGATCAACTTGAAGAATGACGCCGGTCGCCGACCCATTAGCTATTATCATGCACATGCGTTTAGACGATCAAGTAATTTTTTTTTTTTATTCTGTGGATCAAGTAATGTTGTTGGTATCTTTTAAGTATGATAAGGAATAATTTTGTTAGAATAATCAATCTATGATCACCATTAAGCACTAACTGTTAAGTAGTATTGTAATTTTGTAAAGACTGACATTTGTTGCGCGACACCATCATGACACGGTTTTCGATTCTCATAAAAATTTTTATTCCGAAACAGTGTGATTATCGACAAAATGGTAAGTTACAATTTTTTTTTTATCCAAGAACTTGGAGTCGATTCTGCAGAGGGAGTCGAGCGTTTCGATCCAAGTTTAAAATTATGAGCAAGTGGTTAACGGTAGTTAATAGTTATCAAAACAAATAAATAGAAAACGGAAACGTCATTTACCTTGTCAGACTTGTCGCTCTTCGGCACCTCGGCGAACGATATCTGTTGTAAATCTTTGAGCTTATACATACGGCATGTGTTTTCAATCAACGGAGGAGCACGGACGACCGGCTTCAACTTGTACATGATCGTAAAAATCAAAGGACGGACTAAACAATCTTGAAGAGATGGCTAGCCAAAACGTCAGGTAGCAGAATAACTACAAACTCGAATCTAGTCTCTCGTTGTAATTCGGTCAGTTCGGAATTCCTTCAATTCTGCCGTCAACGGGTCACAAGCAGACTAGCAGCTGACGCAGAGCGTTATCTCGTAACCATTGTCGGTGATAAGGAAAGACAGTGTGACCAATCGTTCAAAAAATAAACGAGCGGCCACACGTTTTAGTGGCCCTAAATAACGGTAATTTCTAGAGATCACGGGATCGGCCACTCCGGTAAATTGGTGGCCACATCTGGTGGCCGAACAACCGGGACAGTGGCCACGCGATGACCGTCATCTGCTGTGATGGAAAGCGAGGATCGGTGGCCGGCCAATGGGAGCGGAAGACGGCAGTTGCAGCTGCCGCGGCGGCAAGAGTTCATGGCAAAACGTGTTGATTGGAGGAGTTCGCGGGACGCGTCGCATTTCACCCGCACTACCAAGTCCGTCTCGCACAGCAACACCGTCACTAGGCGACTGGTGCGAGTAAGACGGCACTAACAACGAAGTGTACAACACAACACTAAAACGACGTTATTATTCCTATGACTATTACTATTATTGTTATTTAACATTCAGTGCTAGTTTTTTTTTTTTTTCATTTCGTTTTTTCTTCCCGCTGTGTCGTTTTGTTTTGTTTACGAACGGTTACTTGACAGCGCGTGCCCGCCAGGCGATTGCCGACCACGACGACGACTTGCAAGCGAAGCGAACTGCCGCTGCCGACCACACGACTGCAGTGTGTGATAATAGTGTTTTTGTTACGGCGGTACGTAACACGGTAATTCGCGATGAAAACGAGTGCGTCGAGTTTGGAGGCCCACGAAGGTCACATGACCGCGTCTCGGCATCCGCCGTTGGCCCGTTAACGTCCGTTTTTTTTCGCGCGCTCGCTGACGACGCACACGCACTGCAGGCCTACTCGCTACTACGACAGCTGTGCGTGTGCGCGCGATTTTCGTGTCCACGGATCGCGGGCATAACAATATCACAACTCCAGCCACCTATCATTTCCATCGTTATTTCTTGTTGGTGACTCGATAGTCCGTATTATCCTGCCTCGAGACAACCGTGGTGATCATCGCTGTGCGATTAGTCCTCAGGGGTGCTGTACGTCCCAGCGGACGATCCCGCGCTATATTATTTTGTTTATTCTGTATTCGGTTATCGTCCGAATAACGGTCGCCAGTAGTGGTTGTTGTTGTAGTGATAACAACGCGAATCATGTCTGGCAGACCAAAGCGCAGAGGCCGTCCTCCGAAAACTCCGGGTTCAGACAAACCCAAGTTTCAAATGCACTTGCTGAAAAAACCCAAGTACCTGCAGAACCTCGAGACTGTAGACGTTGTCCAATCTCCAGCACCAGGGCGGTCTGCAGCCTCAAGACGCAGCGCTCCTGCGTCTGTTGGTAATCGTACCGTACCTGTTGTCGAAACGCCATCGCGTAGCACACGGCGATCTAATCAAAAGCCCAAAACGCCCAAGACGCCAGTTGTACCAAAATCTAGGACACTGCGTCCTTCGACTAGTAAGAAGAAGAATAAGAAAAAGACTACTGTTGACAAAAGTCATGATTACCACTACGGTTCTGACTTTGATGAGTCTGAAAAGAGTGAAGAGCCCTCTGAGAGTGAACAGTCTGACACAAATGTTGAAGATGTTGATGATGTTAGTGACAGTGATTTCTCCGTGTCTAGCTTTTCTGTAGCCAGCCGTGCACGTAAAAGCAATGTTTCTTATATTAGAAATCCCAGTCCTGAGCCATTATGGCTTAGGGGTGAAGAAATACCCAAATTGGAATTACCCAAATCCTCAGAAGATCTCCTAGTGCCCACTGAACATGTCATGCAGGCATTGAGCGTTTATGAAGTGTTAAGACGGTTTAAAAGTCAGGTATATTATATTTAAAAATTGGATAGTTTTTTCTCTATTCCAAGTCATATTTTTAATATATTTTGTTATAGGTGCGATTGTCTCCATTTCGATTTGAAGACTTTTGTGCAGCTCTTGTTTATGAAGAGCAAAGCTACCTGTTGGCAGAGATTCATATTATGCTGCTTAAAGCAATATTACGAGAAGAAGATTTACAACAGACTCATTATGGTGCTGTCGATCAAAAAGACAGTATCAATAGTGTATTGTATTTTATGGATACTATTACATGGCCTGAAGTATTACGAGAATACATTGAATCTGATAAATCATTTGATCCACAAGTTCTAAAAGTATTTAATAATGGAGATGAATATCCATTTACAAACATCAAAAATAGATTATCTGTACTGCAGTTTTTAACTGATCAATTTTTAACGTCTACTCTTATTCGAGAAGATTTTATTCATGAAGGTATACATTAATATATGAATAAATTGTTAAGTCTTAAAAAATTAATCAAACATTCATTTTATAGGTCACAGTTTTCAATATGATGATCATTGCCGAGTGTGCCATAAAATGGGTGATCTTTTATGTTGTGAGACCTGCCCAGCTGTATTTCATTTAGAGTGTGCTGAGCCTCCTTTACATGATGTTCCTACAGAAGATTGGCAATGTAATTTGTGCAAAGAGCATAAAGTCATTGGAGTATCTGATTGTATACCTGATGATGAGAAATCTGGTTTATCGTCCCGTCAGGACCACTTGGCTTATGACCGACATGGTCGTAAATATTGGTTTCTAGTTAGAAGAATTTTTATGTAAGTATAGTTATAATAATAATAATATTATATTATTAAATCTACTGAAAAATTTTATCTTGTGACACAGTGAAAATGAAGAAACTGGAGAGTGTTGGTATTATACAACAGAAGAACAGCTAGGATTATTAATAGACTCATTAGATCGTGAAATGGAATCTACTCTTTTCAACGAAATAGAAAAAGTCAAAGAAGAAATTAATCGACAAATGAAAATAACTATGGACTTAACTTTACAGTATCGACCATCAAATAGAAAAACATTTTTGGATATAGAAAACAGTAAGTAATTAGAACCTTGTTAATAGTATTATATTATTTACATCAAAGAAATTTCAAAACAAATTTAATAGTTTATTTCTGATGGTTAGATTAGGTTTCTAATGTAAATCCTCTTAGAAATCTTTATAAATATTAAGTTAATATTTTAATTGTAACTGTTGAACAAGTAATAAAAAATATATTTAATATAACCATAAGCATGCACAGGGAAGGTAGTTGCTTACCTTTTGAGATTCTCTGCTTCCAAGATTCTGTGAAATTAATGGCTCGCAACAGTTCCAATTATACCTCAAACTTAATAATGTAATACTTGTTTTACTTAATTAATTTTTTTATTGTTAAAAAAAATACATTAAAAACTGTTATGATATTTTTATGTTCAAATTTATAATTGTATAAATCAATATATTTATTTTACTCAATTTGAAATAATATAACCATATACACGATTTTGGGTTTAAAATTAATTCCAAAGATTGTTTCATCTTAAGGCCATAGAAGAAAAAAAATCAAGTGTTGTCAACATTTCTGAAATCTCATGCTACTATAGTATTGTCTTCCCCATTAATAGGACCTATGCCTGCTTATGAATGTAATTATTATATTTTTATATGATGCATTTGGTAATTATATTTATATTTCATGCATGATATGAGGTAATATAATTATTGAATTAAGTAATCTTTAATATAATAATTTTGAATATTCTAATTATATCTATTATCATTTGTTTGAGTATTAAAATTCATGATAATAAAACCCTGTTTTAAAAAAAAAAACTCAACAGTTTTATTATGTTGATTACTACAATTTATTGGAAAAGATTTTAGTTATGTAAATATTTAAATACTTCAATCAAATAATTTGCTAAAAGCATATTTTTCTTATTATTTATTAAACAAGACATTTTTAAAGTAATATTATGCATAGTAGAAATTAATTACATTGAATTCAAAATATCAGGTAATCTTTTACGTTATAACCAAAAGCTTATACCTGACGTTAGTAAAGATTTCAATACAACTAAGTTTAAATTAAATTAAAATTGAAGTCAAAAGTCAATGTTTCATAAATTTGTCACAGTAGAAGGTCTGAAATTAATTTATTAGACTATAAACTAAATAGAATTTTAATAATAATTCATTGTTATTAATATTCTTAGTTTCATCATCATTTAATATTTATTTTTTTTTTTAAATAGATAGTAGAAGCAACTATTAATTATTTATATATTATAGGTTATATAATAAGTATGAGAGAAGAGATGCAAAAGAAAAAAGAAACTGAAATGTCAAAGAATGATGGTAACAGTGAAGATAGTACTGACAATGTGAAGGAAGATAATGAATCAAAAAAAGAAAGTAAACAAGAAAATTCAGATGATGTATCTGTAGACAAAAATGGTATGTATATATTAAATATTTGAAATATTTTGTATTTTTCACATAAATTTATTCATATAAAATATACATTTAGAAAATGAAGATGGTAGTGGTGACTCAAAAAATGATGAAAATTCGATGGATGTTGATGATAGTGAACATAATCATAGTTTAAGTAAATAGAAATAATTTTTTTTTTTTAAGCCAATTTAAAGAATTTAATTCACGGATATTATTTTTATTTTTAGGGAGTACTCGTAACAGATCCTTACGTTTAAAACCTGCACAAGTTTCACAACGCCCAACGCCAGAACAACCGAAAAAAATACCTGTGATTGAAAAACCTTCTCCAGTTCATTCGTATTTAGATAACTTGGGTACTAGAGTAACCCGATTCAAAGCTCAACACATAGCAGCTGGTACCTATTTATACAAACTTGGAATGGATAATAGCTTTAAGACATATGTAAATCAATACAGTACAAACCCCACTGCATTAAACAAGATTCAAAAAAATGAAGAACGTGATAAAAAACGATATATGTCCCACAAATTTTCACTTACGGGACCTGGTGAATTCAAGTGGTGTGGACAAATATTTGGTATGTAGTTGTATTTAATTGACTTAACATATTTTTTTTATTTATATTTAATTTTCCTTTGCTTATTTTTATATTAATTTTAGGTGCTCGTTCAACACTGATAAGTACTGTCAAACAAACTATTATTTCATTAGACAACTTGTTACCATCATCATTGATGCATATCAACTGGTCAGTGTTACGTAAACCTTGGTTAAATCAAGTTAATTCTTGTTCTACTCCCAAGGATTTTGCAAGAGTTATGGTTGTTTTGATGTCTTGCATTAAACCAGTTGTTTATGCACCAGTCTGGCACGAACAACTTGGTAAAAATTATACTTACAACATTTATGTATATTAAAAAATTTTGGCTTTTTACTCATTTATTATTTGATATGGCTGTTTCAGGACATGTTAAAATTTATCGTATTACTCATGCAGAACGGGAAGAAAAGAAAAAAACAGACAAAAAAGATAAAAAAGATAAAGATGCAGAAGAAGATGAGCGTAATAGATTGACCATACATTTTGTCAAGTATACTCTAGGTTTGAAACATCAAGTGAGTTTTTATGTGCTTTATTTAATTTTAGAAATTTTACTAATTACTTTAAATTTTAGGTTCACAAACAAAAAGGAGAAGAATATAGAATTCATGGTCAATGGGGATGGCAGTGGCTATCAAAAACAAGAGATTATAAATTAGCTGATTCTTCAAAACAAGGTTTAGCAGCTGGACCTGCCAAAAGAATTTTTCAAGGCAAAGGTAAATAACTGAAATGAGTTTGGAGGAATTAAAAATATTTGTTTTATTATTAAAATTAACAAGAATAACAAGGTCTATGTTAGGTTGAGGGTTTATAACCTTAAACCAAGAGATCATCTTAATTAATTCTTAATAAAATGTTTTGTTTTTAATTAGATGATAAAGGAGTTCGAACATTTTCTATCGCCGAAACACTTTACGACTCTATAATATTAAAAGAATGTACATTTGACTCAGAAGTGTCAAGTAAAATTCTTGATGACCAAAGTGTTATACATTTAGATAGTGTTTCAGGTAAACTTTTAAAATAAAAAAAATTAGTGTAGAAATTTAATAATTATATCTCTTATTTCAGATATTGATTTTGTAAATATGAAAATCCTTTCACCCATTGACAAACTTGATGATAACATTGATATAAGCAGTACATTGTGTTCTACTAGTCGTATAATGTATCCTAAACTAGCCAAAAAATGTAAAACTGACATGTTATTGCCAAGAAGAATGCAATTAAAATTAGCTGAAGAAAGATCAATAATGACAAAAAATACGAATGCTTCAAAAACAGTTCCAGAAGTAAATATTTTAACAATTTGTTATAATTTAAATAATTAAGTTATTTTTAATTTTATTTTTTCTTAAAGATTTTTTTAAGTATATCATTTTTGGCATTCCCAATTAATTAATAAGTTAATTAGTTACAGTATATTATTAGTAATTTCCATAAAAAAATATTATTCATGTTATCTTTAAAAAAATTAATTTTAACAAAATATAACATTCCAATTTAAAATTTCTCATGTTTTTCTGCAATAACTGAGAAATATATTTCAATAAGATTTCATTTTATTAACTTAACCAGTAATTTATTTCTATTATTTTTATTGTTTTAACTATTCTTAATATGATATAACTTAATTCTAGGCTGTAAATACTAAGCCTTCAAGTGCTCCTCAATTGTCTTCTGAAGTCTTGGCACAAATATCAGAAAAGTCCAGCTTATTGTGCAATTTACAAAAACGTGTGATTCAACTCAAACAGCATTATTTATCGTTTAATACAATGTCTGAGCACATGATATGCTATAATAGTAGCTGTCGAGCCGTTAACAAAACTACTTTAACTGACTCGTGTTATAGTCCACTTTGTATTAGACATGTGAGTGTACGAAATGATCTTCTAGCATTATTACGAAGAATGAATATATTAAAATCAGAACTAACAGGTGAGTAGTTAATATACATTTTAAATATTTAATTGCTTAACATATTTGAACTTTCAGCATTAAAAGCAACAATACCTAAAGATTCGGGTGTATTAAATATAAAGACTGAAAATACTGATAATACTTCAGGCGAACCAGTTCAAATTAAAACTGAAGTTAAAAAAGTAGAAAATATTGTAGTTAAAAGTGAACAGGTAACTCAAGAAAATGATCAAGTTAAAACTGAGAGTATCGCCAATCAAAAAGATATAAAAACAGAAAGTGAAGATGAACAAAATGTGAAAGTTGATGTCATCAGCAGTCCTACTGGGTATGTTAACATTAAAACATGATGTTTATAGCCATTTAGTAATGAGCTTGTTTTTAGTCTAAGTGTTTTGAAGCCGGCAAGGAAAAGAGGTGGTGCTAAGCGGGAAGGCGTTTTAGTAGATTGTATAGATGATGGACGTATTTATTCTACTGAAGATACACGAAAAAAGGTTAATTAAACTAAACCAAGATTTAATCAGTCTGATAAAATATTTGTTAGTTATTAATAACCTAATTATTATTTATTTTTTTCATTGTAGATTTATTTAAAGAAGCTTTCGAGTAATAATGTTCCTGTTAAAAAGAAAGCAGAGAAAATTAAGTATCCTCCTACTTCACGATTTTATACACGTAGTAAACGCTGCAGTTTATTAGTATTACCTAAACACGAGCTTCAAAAATTAGCTAGACGCGGTGGACATGATATTGTAAATGGTTTCAATCCAAATAGCAAAGTATAAAACATTATGATAATTTTTTTTTTTTGTTCCTTGTCATTCATTCCTATTGTTTGTCTTTCAGACCAATAATGCTGTGTGGCCATATCCTTGTCCAAGACCATATTTTAAAACATGTTGGCTTTATAGAACAATAATGTTTAACACCATATCAGCTGCTGCATTACAATTAAGAATCTTGTGGGCGTGCCTAAAATGGGATGAGTTAACTTCTAAAACTGCTCATTTGGCTAGTAAACGAGAAGTAACAACTGAAACTGAATTAATTACTACAGAAACTTTAGAGTGCCGTACTTCAGGCCAGTTCAATGAACATACTGAATATTTAATACGCAAAGTTGTAATACCATTAGATATACCAAAACAAGTCAGGGGTAAGACTTATATAATCTTAAAATTAATATATTTTTAAAACATTTATTTTTTAAAAATTCAGAGGTGACACCCATACGAAGTGGTTTAAGAAAACGTAAAAGAGAGGAAGCTCCAAGAAACACTGCACCACAGGTATCTGAAGTGTGGGTAGATGAAAGTAAATTGGAGCTGGTAGAAATTAAGCAGTTCCATGAAAGGTATATTTTATTATTATTCAGTATTCATTATTATTTTTACCGAGCATTTCATTTATTTTTTACAGAGTGGAACGTGAAATGCAAATGCAACAAGCCATGAAAACACGTGCATCTTCAGCTTTTGCTAATAAATTATTGCATAATGATTCTTCTCACAATCGAAATATAAATGATAAACTTCGTTTACAAAACTCAGATGCAACTGAAAACATAAAAGAGCAACTAGAACAGTCTCTCAGAGCCCAAAGAATAGCTTATAAAAGATCATCAGTAAATAATGATAATAACTCTTCAAATAAGAAATTGTGCATGGAAGTATCCAACTCACAGAGTCTGGTGACTAGCAGTTCAACACAACGTATGAAACTTGTACCTGGTAAGATTATTTAACATTTAATGCTGGTAAAAATTCTTTAGAGCCATGAAATATAATTTTATTAGTTATAAAAACGATGTCATTTATTTACATATTAACATTTATATTAATACTGATAATGTTTTATTATCATAAATACTATACCTAACTACCTAAAATTATTATTTTCATTTACTGATTGCTAGCAAATTAATCTTACATAAATTATCTTTTACTAATTGATGAGAATAAATTTAAACTATCATTATTTGTACAGGTGAAGGTGGAAGATTAAGGCTGATGCCTAATAATAAACCTTTAGCTCAAAGTCCTACTTTACTTCAATCTTCCCCACGAGTTGTCAATAAACCAACTACTACTACTACTAATACCACTCCATCTACTCGACGTATATTCATGACTAAATGTATGTATTATTTAGTTTCCAAATTAATATAGGAGTACCCAATTTTATTTTTATTTTATTCTTGATAATTTAGGTCCAGATGGTAAAACCAGACTTGTGACAACACCAAAAACAATAATCACTGACACTAGTGTAATAAATCAAAACTCAATGAAGATTCAATCGTCAAACTCACAAATAGTAACAAGTAAGATAGAGTAAACATGCATCAAAATTTAAACAGTAAAAATTTTTTTTTTTTATTTTTTATTAGCTAATAATGTTACACAACAAAAATTACAATGTATTAAAGGTGAAGACGGAAAATTACAATTCAAAGGTCTTTTACCAGGTAATAATATTCATAATCTGATAAAAATTTTAATTTAAATATTATAACTTTATTATTTGATAAATATAGGACAACAACTTATTCAACTACCCGATGGAAAATTGCATGTGACCAACTACATAAATTCTAGCCCATCTCGAAATGTGCAGATAGCTAAGAATACAATATTGACAAATAATAATAATTTTCAAAAGTCTGGAACTCAAGTAAGGTTTTAATGTGTGATATGTGTGTGTACATGGAATCTTTTGTATCCTTATTATATTGTTTATGTAAAGTTACTAAGTTTTTAATATTATCACTTTATTTTGTATATTCACAGACAATTATTTTGAATCGAGCATCACAGCCTATTCAACAAGTTTTAAAACCTCAAACATCTCAAGTAATATGAATATTATTGATATGTTAATATAATCAACTGATAAAATGCATTGTTTATATGTATATATATATACTTAAATTTTTATTGAAAATAATTTTTTTATTGATAATAACATTGAATAAATATGATGAAAAATAATGATTTGTATATTTTACAGGTGGTAGTTTCAGGTGGACAGCTAGTAAATGTTTCACAAGGTCAACAAATGATTGTGCAACATATTAATCCAAATAAAGCTACTATAGCCACTATTAATGGACAACAAGTTCTAATACGACCTAATACTAGTAAGTTTTTAAACAAAGAGAACGCCATACTCAAAAGTATTATCTATCTTAAAAATTAATATTTATATTAATTTCATATTAAATTTTCTTGTTTTAATTGTATGTTGTTAGTTTTAATATTAGAGTGAATTAACCTATTATCAAACTTATAGTAAAAATAATATCTTTTTCTTATATTTTAATTTTAGAATTAATATTTCAAAGATATGAGCATTTTTAAATTTTAGTATTTATCACGCTCCCTTGAATATTAAAGTATCAAAATAACTAAATGTGTAATACAGATAATTTTAACTTGACAATAAATTAATTCACTCTAATTTTTAAAACTAATAACACCTATTTGGAATGTCAGTGCAGCTTCTTTCTAGCCCATATGTAACATAGTTTAAACACTTTATTCAGAATCATTTTTTTTTTATGTTCTAGAGGAACCATCCATAACAACAATTATAGAGCATAATATTTTTGAGGGTATGACAATGATATGTTTAAATAGTGTTAAAACAATTTTTTTATTTTATTTTAAAAGTTGAATTACTACTTAGTCAAATTATAACAAAATATTCACTCAATATTTTAAACCCTCAAAAATATCATCTATCATTTTTGTAATATGTGTTTTTACTCTATGATTACTCAAAAGTCATATAAACAATTTTAGGTAAAAGTATTTTAATTATGTTGCGAGTAGGTCTGAGATTGAAAACAAATATTGTGCTGACATCCTTTTAAACATTTGAATGACAAAGATATACATGTTCTGGTCATCTTAATACTAATGATTTAAAGCATGGATACATCATTATTTTTAATTAATTAGGTACCTCTGCCAATATAATAAGTAGTGGTGGCCAGACAATTAAGTTTGTACGACCTCAGCAAAATGTACAAAAAGTTAATCAATCTGTACCTCCACTATCACCTAGAGTTACTCATACAACTGGAATTGTTCAAGTAAGATTTTATCTATAATTTTCATTTTCTTATAATATTTAATTGATCACTGATTTTAGGACCAACATAGATCAGTACCAACTGTATCCGCACCAATTGTTGATGAACAAGAAAAATTATTATTAGCTAATCAGCCCCCTGGTACAGTAATAAAATGTATCACTGCTCAAGTTATTCAAAGTCCAACACAAGGTAATAAAATAGTGTTACAAGGGTTGCAAGGTAATGATTTCACACCTCAACAATTGCAACTTGTACAGCAACAAGTTAAACAACAACTCTTAAAAGGTGAACAATTTAAAATATATCAGCAAATGCTAAATAAATTGAATTATAATTTAATGTGTTTATTTTAATATTCCAGCCCAAGAATCCAGCGGTACTCAAGGAGTGTTAGGCCCTACAAAAATTTATCTAGCTGTTCAACCACCAGATTCTCAACTCCCTCCTGTGCAAAAAACTGGAATTGTACCACCCGTCACAACCCAAGCTACGGTTAAAATTGAACCTTCTCCTAAGCCATCAGTTTCTGTTTCAAACAACATCTCAGAAAGCTTAACTCAAACTAAAACTGAACCAGTAAAATTTTTTGTTTAAAGTATACTTTGTTATTGAAACTTAATAATATATTTTTTTAGCCATCAAAGTCTCCAGTTAATAAAACCCCGGTTAGTAAGGAAGAGCTAACTGAGTCCTCCAATTCATTTGTAGTGACTCCAAACTATATTAGTCAATGTAAGTTGTATTTAGTAGTAGCTATAGTAATTTTTTTTTTTAACTTAAACTGTTGTAGCTATTAAAAATGTCTTGAAAAATGAAGATTTAAATCCAGAAACACAAGAGAAACTGTTACAATTACAAAAATATCAAGAACAAAAATTGCGTGATCCAGTACCGCAACCTACAGTAACTGCATCTTCTGTAAGAAAACGATCTTGTGATGCCGATAATTTGTCAGAATTTGAACCACCCAAAAAAACAACTGAACGTGATAATTCTGGGTATTTATATATTTTATTAGTAAAAACACTGGGGAATTTTGTAATTCAATTGATAACCATGCCTAATTTTTATGTTACTTATTTTTGTGTGTACAGTTTTTTTTTAATTTAAATTTTAGTCTAATTTGTTTTATTAATTGTTATTATTGTACATGTATTTATAGGCTGCTGGTGCCTCCTGAACAGTCAAAATTGTATCAGACTCTAAAACAAGGAGATGATCTTCGTAAAATGCAACAACTTCAATCAAAACTCCAGGTTAGCTTGTTCAAACAAAAAGAATTATTGAAAAAAGATATACTAAAAAAGAGGGCGCTTCTGGAAAAAGAATTGCAAATCGATATTCAGGTATGTATTTTAGTCATGTTTTTCTCGAAATTCGGTTTTATCGAACTTCCTGACAAACATAATTTCCTGAATTTCGATCCTCAGTTCCGATTCCAGAAATGTCGTTACTCGATTTGATTGCAGTGTACAAAGTACCTTGTAGGGGAAAGGAATTAACTTAATGGCGTAATATGTCTGTTTAGAAGACAAGTCATTCATATTTAAATTATTTATATGTGTTTGATGTTTTTTTTAGAATGAAATAGCTGCTAACGTAACTGTTTCATCAGCTGATTCTACGACCACATCCACTAATGTGACTGAAAAGTCTAACTCAATAACACCAGTTTCTACACAAGTGACTCCTCCTCCTCAACCTCAAGGTAGTAGCAAACGTAAACACGCTTCAGGTCCACCAACCACCATACAAACTACACCACATGCCAATACTAATTCCAAAACTAGTAATTTGGGCCCTGGTCGACGACGACCAATGAAGACTTCTCCTCCAGCACCAAATCGTAATCATTCACGACCATCATCATTAACGCCAGTTAAAAAATCCAGCCCAAAGAAAAGTAAAAAAGAAAAAATTATGTGTCTATGCCGAACACCTTATGACAGTTCTAAGTAAAAAACTATTTTGACTTGTGCTCCATAACCAAATATGTTGTAATTATATTTGGTCTTAGGTTTTATGTTGGCTGTGATATGTGTCACAACTGGTTCCATGGTTCTTGTGTCGGCATCACTGTGCAAATGTCTAAAAGAATTTCTGAATGGTTTTGTCCAGAGTGCAAGCGATCTAGAGATCCTGAAGTTCTCTATTGTATATGTAAAAAACCATATGATGATCAACAGTAAGTTGAATTTATTAAATAAAAATGTAATAAATTGTATGCCAAATATTTTATTAATGCACTTTTTTTTTTCTTATAGATTTTATATTTGCTGTGATAAATGCCAAGACTGGTTCCATGGTAGCTGTGTTGGTGTATTACAGTGTGAGGGCGATAAAATGGATGACTACAATTGTCCTAGGTGTATGTCCAACTCTGAAATCAATTTTGCTAATTTGAAATCATTGAACCAACAAGACAACGATGACTTATTGAAACTCATCAAACAAATACATGTAACTATTTAATGTGAATCACAAAAATACTATATTTTTTTTTACAAAATGCTTTTATTTTTAGTCGCATAAAAGTGCATGGCCTTTCATGGATCCAGTAGATCCTCATGAAGCTCCTGATTATTACAATGTTGTCAAGGAGCCTATGGGTAAGGATACTTCTCTATTTAAATTGAATTAAAATATTATTTTTAAATTTTTGTTACCACTTACTTATTTTCATTAGACTTGAATTGCATTGGTAAAAATGTGACCGATAAGAAGTACAAGAATCTCACAGAATTCATTCGTGATATGATCAAGGTTTTTGATAATTGTAGGTATTATAATCCACGTGAGTCGCAATTCTATAAGTGTGCCGAAATCTTAGAACAGTTTTTTGTGTCAAAATTGAAAAATCTAAGGGACAAATTTTGTGAACAATACATGGAAGTCTAAAAAATAGTTTTCAATTATTGTGATAATTTTCTTAGCATCATACATTTAAAATGTTTTTTTTTTTTTTATTATTATTTATTAATAAACGTTTTTGTTCTTATTTATTATTATCTTTTAGAAAAAAAAAACATACATAATATATACTCAATAGATTATTTTATTTATTAATACAATATATCATAACAGAAATTATTGATGTATAAGAGAAAATCTATATTTTTAGCTAACTTATGGTTTGTTTTATTGACAAATTTTTTCGGACAGTTCACTGCCTATTCAGTAACAACATTGATATTTTGTTATTGACATAAAATGATATGCTAGTGAATCTATCTTTTTTTTTATCAAATTTATTTGGATAACTTAACTATTATACAATATAATAAATTTATGACAAAGTTACTGTTGAACGATTGATGTTTGTTTAACTGCTCAGAAGCCCAAACATTCATTCCAAAAATCTAAATCAAAGTATATATTTTTTATCTGTTTAACCGTTTTTTGTAAAAAATAATATATATATAATTATAAATAAAAAGTTTTACAGTGATGTATATTTTATATTTATCTCTTAAAACAAGTTTTATACAATATGTTAATGTTTAAATATATTTTTTTCTTTAAATATGTCATAACTCAAAACCAAAAATTTGTACGATTTGTTTATTGAATGTGTTGAATGCATGTAAATAATTACGTGTAGGAGTAGAGCCTACTCTTATTTTATTTTATAATAAAAATTATGTATGTTAAAATTAACTATGATTTAATAATGATTATTATATAAATGGTGATGATGTTTTTCTTACATGCCTTTTAGTTTTTTTTTTTATTTGTTTAATTTAATATTTTTATTTTTTTCCATTAATAATTACTTTTATTATTATTATTATTATTATTATTATTATTATTACTATTATATATTTTTGTTGTATCTAGTTTTGATAAACTTGTTTGATACTGGCTATTGTAATTATAACTATTAAAAAAAAATGGAAAAACCAAGAAATGAGAAGTAAAACAAATATTTTATTATTAGTAGGTATGGTTAATGCAAAGCGCTCAACTGCAGGCTGCCAGTTTAATAAGCAAATCAACCTCGTTGATTTTTTCGCGATGCCAAATTGACGGGTTCCTGACGTTCCTGTACGTCGTTCCCTATGTTCTAACTTAATTTGTTTCACATGCTTTTGAAGGAGAACTTCTTACACAATAGCTGTCATACTAATACAATATTAATAATGATTACTACGATACGTTTCATGACAAGTCGCGTTTTAAGTAATTGCAATTTTATTATTTAGTTTAATGAACGATACACATACCTGACTTTCTGTGCTATTAAAATCATAAGTAGGTACCGACGTGCCGTAAAATGAGATTAATTATAACTAATTTCACTAATTGCTAGTTAACTTTAAGCTTTTGCTAAAAATTCAATTTTAATGCTAGAATTAATTTATAGAGCTTATAGGTTAATCGTTACCTACCTATTATATTTTATTTGGTTTTGAAAATTTTTCCAATTTACCAACATCATTTGTTTTAATATTCTTTTTTACGAGTATTACAATTTACCTTTTAATATTAGGTGAATATCAATTTGCATTGAAAAATGTATATTTTTTACTTT